AAAAAGAAGCTTTTTAGCAAGTTCCCGAAACACTCAAAGAGCTGCTTAGGAATCTGAGTGACACATTAATCAAATAATCAATAAGTCTGATAAATAGCAGTGTGTACCTGTAGAGAGAAGCTGCTGATCGTTTCAGGCCTTTGGGTCTGGGCTTTGGCTCTCCCGCCATGTTGATATCTGGAATATATATATATATATATTTATATATATAAAAAAGAACAAACACTCTGTTAACTACCAAATAAAATTATATTAATCGATCATTAAAAAGTATTGTAGCTAGATCACAAAACAGTAACCCTATCTGTACCTTTAACTGTGCCTTTAACTTAGATCTAAGACAGTTCCTGTGTTATCTTGTAACTTCCACTAGAGGTAGCTGTTGAGCTATTTTACAACAATAACAGTGTCAGCTGTTAGGTCAGTTCCCCTTACTGTACAGAAGGGGAGGGGAAAAAAACAAGAAAGTAACCCCTCAGCTGTGTTTGTTACTTTGCTCATTCTCTTATGTCAAAAAGGAATATAACAGTACATCCAAAGTACATGCTCTACAATAATTACATGGTTGTAGAAGCAATTAAAAATATATGTAGTTGCTTTGTAGGCCAAATAAAATGAAAGAAAATGAAAAAAGAAAGAAACTGTCAGCAAACCTTCTGAATCAGACATCCAGTTAAAGACGTGGAGGGCCTGATTTCAGCTGACTGGGATAAAAGCAGGCTATACCTTGAAGAGGTTGTCTGTCAACCACAGGTCTAACAAAGACAGACTGACAACCAAACAAACCTTGGAAAGCATGTTTTAACCCAGTATCATCTTCCTTTGAGGCAACAACTATAATCTGTAAATCACTTTTCTCCCCTCAAGTCCTGAAATAATTGTTGTGTTCTTCTAATGTTTTGTAAATACTGCAATAGTAATTATGATCAACTAAAGTATGAAAACTTAATTACACCAAGTTAGGATTAATGGAATATGTATGTTTTCAGGAGGCAAAATTTTTTGAATGAATTGGGGGGGAAATAGTAGAGAAACTAAGAACAAAGCGTCCTCACTGTAAGATTATTAAAGACAGTTTGTTGAGAAGGTTTTCTTTTTTTTTTGGTTCAAATTTGTGTTGTTAATTACACAGTGAAAGGAAAACAAAGGATCTGTCATTATGAATGATGAAAACGTCATGAGCTGATTCCTACGTTGTGGTCTTAAATTTAACAGACTATTAGAGCTCATTTGCTTTATTTCCACCCAGCATGGGTAGATGGTTAATGGCTAGTCTGCTAACAGAGGGGGGGGAAACAGAACTTGCACTGATGAATCACCATCCATCCATTTCTAAATCACTTCATGGTTCAAGGTCACCAGAGCACCAGAGTCAATTCCAGCATGCAGTGGGTCACGGAGCACCACAGCTCACCAGTCTATCACAGAACAGCATTTACTTTCTAGTTGTAGGAGTAAACCAGAGCATCTCTATGAAAGCCATACAAAACTGGAGGAAACAAACTCCATACAGACGAAAAGGCTTCAGCAGATTTGTATCAGACTGGAACCCAGAACTCGGAATCAAGCACTGATACTGCAGCCTCTCACAAATCAGTGAGATATTTAGATATTTCCAAGCAAAAATTACTGGCAACTTGGGAAAATACCTCTTCAGGTTTGATGTGCAGTGTTCACGTGGGTTTTTTCACTCTCCAAAGTATCTTTAGATTGTAAAGTTTACTGAAGTAAAAATTCAGACAAATGCAGTAAAGCAGTAAAATACACTCAAATATAAAATAAATTAAAAGTTGCTGAAAACCAGCTAGTTTAAAAATGCTGTTGCTTAAGCTAAATTAGTAATAAATCAATAATATTGTGATCTCAGTTCTGCAAAACTACTAGCACTAGTTTGTGATCGTATTTGACTACAAGGAGAGGATACATAGCACGTTGCTAAAATCAGAAATATTAAATAAAGAATCAGATAAAACAATATGTAATAATATTGTAGTTTTAATAACATTATTGTAATGTAGTGTGAGTTAAAGCAGAAACAAAATGTTACATGGAGAGCTGTTTGGGCTGGTTACAGAGGAAGCAACTGGAAACGCTGGTGACACGAGCATTTTAGGAGAGCAAACAGTCTTAGCTCATACTGGCCGTTCTGTTCATCTGCTTGAGTATGATTGTTAATCAACAAACTGCTAATGAGCCAGTGCCTGTGAGCTACTAAAAAAAGCAGCTGATGCTAGTCATCCAATACCAGCCCCCTTTAAATCCTCCTCTGCTTGAATATAAGGTGATGCTCCTGTCTTGTTAAATTTTATGTAGTGCAGGCAGCACTTGAAGCATAAAGACATCACCACAAGTTGAAAAGTATATAAAAGGAATTGAAGTTGACGGATAAGCAAATTGCATTTGGATACTGTGGTTAAGCTATGTTTGGTTGTACTGTGCATTTGAGTTTTCTGCTATGTTAAATACTACGAAGGCAGATGTAACATTTCTGAACTTACATGAGGTCTTATTGCCTAAAAAAAACCTGTACATTTTACAGTGATGGAAAACAAGGAGTTACTAAATTTCGCAGACAATTGTTTTTATCTTAGAAATGTTGAAAGATGAAGACAGAGATGAAGAAAGATGAAGAAAAAGCATCCACTGAGGATAATAACAGGATGGAGCGAGGATGAGGACGGAAAGTGAGTTTTCAGCAACCAGAGGCTACAGATTCAAGCCTTTTAACTTCACCGTGAAGGAGAGTGTGCACGTGCCTGTGTGTGTGTGTGAGTGTGTGTGAGTTTGAGGCAGTGATCCAGAACTGTGACTCCAGCCAGGTGTGAAAATGGTTGGAGTCCATTGGTTTGCAGGAAACACAAACACACATCCCCTCCCCTCTATGACCTAGTGAAAAACTGTGCAAGCACGCACGCACACACGCACGCACGCAC